CGGGGAATTGGAGCCCAAGCTTGCCGACTTCTGTTCACTCTGAGACTTCTGGGCCTCTTGTCCTCTGTGGGGCTGCAGATTAGGGTAAGTGTGCCCAGCCCAACTGTCTCCCAGGAGAGCACCTAGAGGGTCAGGAGGTGGTGGCTTCCAGCCTTTCCTCCGAGGCAGCAGGAGGGCTCTTAAGTAAGAGGCTCCTCTGACACATACCACAGGCCACCTGGGCGTGGCTCAGCTCACCTTGTCTGATGGCAGTCTTGGGATTAGAGCGATCACAGCTGTGTCATCTGTCGGAGGTGGCACCACTTCTCTGAGCCTCTTTTAATTCATCTGTAAAATGGGGCAATGGTAGGTCTTCCTGGTACAAAGCCATGGGAAGGTGCTTGGCACAAGCTGCATGCCAGGTGCTCCACACTTCGTCATTACCATCAGTGACTCAGGAGAGACCAGTGGCTTCCCTTGCTCCCTGCAGCTGTGACTGGGTGGGCAGTCCTAAGGGGGTTCACACTTAGGGGACCTAGCTGCAGCAATGCAGGCATAAGAACAGATGGAGGGGCCACGTGACCACACTATGCATGTGTGCACATGCTTACTCACAGACACACAGACACACACACACACACACACACACACACACACACACACACACACACACACCACCTAGTGTCTCATTTCACCCTGTTGAGTCTGGGACACTTAACACTTGGTTCTACCAGGAAGAATGGAAGGGGAAGGCCAGGCCTACCTGGAGGCCTAGTCTGGAGAGACCATGTGGCAGCCACAGTAGAAAACTGAAGGAATGGGAGTAGTTCTGACTGGCTGGAGTAGAAAGTGGGTGGCAGGAAGGTGTAGGCAGCATGTCTGGGCTTCATTCAGCGCCTCCCAGTGGAGCTCCATGCTGGGCTTCCTGCCAGACACTGCTAGGAAGATGGGCAGGTCTCCTGCCCTCAGGAAGCTCCACATATGATTGATCAGTAAACGGTGCCATCCTAAGCTGCCTGAAAGAGCAGGGTCTGATAGGAATGATAGTCTCCTGGTGAGGTACAGGCACTTGAGGCAAGGTGTCAACGGGCCTGTTTGTATCCTGGAGATTGGGTTGGGGCCAAAGGACAGAGATGGAGACACAAGAGTAAAAGATAGGGAGGGACAGGAGCCAGACCCTGATGGCCTTGAATACTAGACTTGTCAAAAAGTCACTCTGGTAGCAGTTGAGGGACAAGGCAAGATGCTGTCTGCAGGGGAGGTGAGATTCTGCACTGGACAGTAGCGGACTGTGGTCCAGAGAGAGGAGGGAGCAGGCACCACATGGGCTAGTGGGTCAGGGTCAGGGTCAGGGTCAGGGTCAGGGCCTGGCACCTGCTGGTAAGCTTTGGAGAAGGAGCTCCCTGCACGAGGTTAGGAAGGGGTGAGGTATGCAAAGCGACTAGAGCCAGAACACAAGTGGGATCAGGAGGCTCAGAGGAGAGGCAGGAGCCGTGGGTGAGGGCGGGCTTCTACACTGCTAGGACCACAGGCAATGGAGGCAGCAGGCAGAAAACTTTTGAGCACCAGCTTCAAAGACTGAGTGGCCAGTGACAAATCTTTTTACTTTGGGAAAAATCTCTGAATTTTGCCGTCTCTGATACTGAATCCCCTGGGAACTGCATTTGGTTGCATGTAACAGAAGAAAACAAACGGGATTTGTATAAACACCCGGGAGGTTGTAATAAGAATCCAAATGGAGCCAAGTATATTATAGGCACACACCTAATTACCAGCACTTTGGAGGTGAAGATTGAACCATTGTGATTTTGAGGCCAGCATGGGTTATGTAGCAAATTCAAGACCACTCTAAACTACATAGGGAGGCTTTGGGTCCAAACAATGGCACTGACAGGTTCAAAGGCTAGAGATTCAGCATAGCCACAGAGCACTTATTCTGGTTCAGGTATGAGCCCCAGAACTACAAAAGCCAGAACAGAATGGAAGGAAGGAAAGAGGACAGAAGATGGTGGGATGGAAGGGACGATCCAGGCAGGTCAGCCAGGGCTAATGTGACAGTTCAAGTGGCCAAAGGACCACTTGAAGCCTCTGCCATGCTCGACCTGAGCCTTTCGACCTCATGGCTACAAAGTTGCTGCTCCACTTCTATTTTGGATGTCTGAATTCTAGGCAGGAGAAAACGGTTTTCTGAGGCTGCTGCTTTCTGAGCTTACCATTCTTAGCAGAAAGCAATAGATTTCCTGGACCCCCACCCTCAGGACTTGTGACCACATCTCTTTTTCTTCTTTTGACTGTGTAGCCACCCTACCTGCAAGAGAAACTAATGACATGGATATTTCTAATTGGACGCTTCTGTTAGGCACAGGGGAAAATGACTAGTAGGAAGGCTGGCAAAGAGCCACTTTGAAGTACTCCTCAGGTTGCTGCCAAGATCCCCTGAGGTACTTATGTTCACAGACCCCTAGGCACCAGGGACAGGCCACCTCCCTGGGGCGAGCAGCGCTTGCCTCTGAGCTGCCATTCACCCATGCATCCAAGCATCCATCACCCACCACCCCGGTACAGTGTCTCTAACATAGTTCCCACAGCCCATGGCAGGACAGTGTGTGGAGAGACAGCTGAGGAAACTGGCAGGTGAACTCCACTTCTACCATGCCATACAAAGGTCTCTGCATCTGTTGAAGGATAATAGCAAGTTTGAGGCTATCTGGGCTACATAGTGAGTGTTTGCCCTTGATGCCAGAAAGGTTTCAGGGCAAGGATAACTACCAGCCGTGAAATGGCTGAGGAGCCAGTCAAAGATGACATGGAGCCTGGAGGCTCAGAAGGCCTCCTTCAGTGCCTTAAGGAATAGAGCAAGAAGCCAGAGGGACCAGATGTGTACAAAGAGGGAATGCTGGGGTCCTCTCTTGGCCCAGTAGAGTATCCCTGTAGTACCTTTCTGAGCTGCCTCCTCCATCTGAGAAACTTCAGTGGGTAGAAAGACCAAGGATAGCAGCCTGGGAGCCGGGCATGTTAGCACATTCCTGAAATCCCAACATCCTGGATTGGAGACAGGGGGTGGTCAAGAGTTCAAGACCAGCCTCAGATACATGGCAAGTTTAAGGGGCCTGGGCTACATGGGACCAAAAAGCTAATCAAAGGCAGGACAAAAACAAACAAAAAATGGGCTGGGACTGGGTGTAGTGGCTCACGCCTTTAATCCAAGCACTAGGGAGGCAGGGGCAGGCAGATCTCTGAGTTCGAGACTGACAGTCTGTTACACAGAGAAACCTTGTCTTGAAAACAACAACAACAACAAACCCAAAACACAGGCTGGGGAGACAGATATATTTGGAAAGAGAATTGGGCAAGTCCTTTGAGGACTTCCAAACTGTGGTGTGAATAACCAGCTAGGGAGAAATAAGGCAATTCTGGATAATTTTGTTGTTCTGACCTCAGCCCTGGGCTCTGTGGAGCACTCCACGCCCCCTTGCCCTGTCCTTGGTGCTAATGGGCCCGGGGTGTTGTCCGTGGTCCTGAAGAGAGGATCCGGCCTGTCCTAGAATGGGGGTGCTGTCTGTTGTTCTGTCTTGGGGAATGTTTAAGAATCCTTTCAGAATGTGGTTTTCCCAGGACCTGACTGTGCAGTCAGCTTTTTGACCATGGCACCGGCACCGCACAGTCCTGAGGAACATCTGAGGCTGGATGGTGCGTTCGCCTCTATCTTCATGAGCCCTGCAGGAGCTCCTTACATAACATGCCTCTCACTTCCAACATCGCCCTGCAGGGGAGGGCGGTGTTAGTCTCGTTTCAGAGGTGAGGGGACAGAAACTTAGAAAACCAAAGGGACTTGTGGGCCTCACCTCTAGTCTCAGTCCCCTGACTGTAGTGGGGAAGTTGCTGGGAGGGACTTGGGGAGCAAGGGTAGAGCTTTGCACCACAGCACTCGCATGGGTAACATTGGTCTTAACATAGAAGCTGGATATTGCTTCACAGGGATGATTTGGAGGTGGATGTCTCATGGGATCTCCCAAAAGCTGTGAATTTGGGCCCCATCTTAAGTTTGTGTGCGTTTGGGGGCGGGGGGGGGGGGGGGGGGGGGGGGCCCAGATTCAAAGAGAAA